TTCTTTCTGGGGAATTAACTTGCTTTCCTGTCTGGATCACAGTCACTCCCCAGCATTCACTCCAGCTTTGCGAGGATTCACATGTGTGAGACTGGAGAGTGTTTCCTGGGGCTGGGATTGGGGAAAAGATGGGATTTTTCTTTTCTTTTAGGGATTCAGATGGACAATTCCATTTCTGGCAAGCTTCAGCGTTTAGCTAGTTTCTGGGGGCGTGAGACCCGCTAGGCTGGGGTCTCTCCGCCTGCACTGTGCACAGCTGGGAGGGTCACCCTTCACGGCAGGGGGTCCTGTGCAGTGTAGGGTGCTGGGCAGCATCCCGGGTCTCCCCCACTGGCAGCAGCAGCACCCCTACCCTCATTCCCCGGTCCAGGACACTGATCCCCTAGTCCAGCCAGGTGGGGTCAGACCAAATTTTCACCAGCCTTTCATCATTCATCCATAAAATGAGGGTGTCCCCCACTGTGCCTCTCCCTCAGGAGCAGCAGACCAGATAATATAAGTAGAACTCCCGGTTCGGTGCCCCATACATGGTCAGGGTCAAGTCTATGTAGCCTGGCACCTCTCTGAGGTCCTGGTGGGTGGCGCCAGGTGGGGGAGGGGAGAGGAGGGGGCTGGGGGCCTCCGGGCCGTTGAATCTGAGGCTGGCTCCGCTGCGGGCCTCACTGAAGGTGGTCCCTTTCACCCTCTTCCTTCACAGCTCAGGGTACCCCAACCCACCGCCCACTGCCTGCCTCGCTCTGTCCCCCTGGAGCTGCCCCTGGGTCCTTCAGCCCCCACGTCCCTCCTCCCTCCGAATCCCAGTGGTGAGAGCCTGTCCCACAACTGCACGTGGCCTTCTATCTTTCCCTCTCCCATTCCTGTCGGCATGGACCCTCGGAGCCTGGCCAGAGCAGACACTGGCCTCACCAGGCAGCTGAGGGAGTGACCCTGACCCTGTGGACCTAGATTTGAACTGCACACACAGGACAGATGCCCAGTCAACGTGGAACATGAGAGGCCGCGCCTGTGCCTCTGGGTGGTCTGTGCACTTCTTTCCAGAAAGAAAAAGTGAGAAAGACAGAAGTGGTCTGGATTTTACGGGAACACTGCAAAGACTACCTTCCTGGAAGGCAAGGGTCATCCAGCCCATCCACCCACCCATACAACCTGAGTGTTCATCCATCTATCCATCCAATCATCTAGCCCCCCAGCCACCCATATATCCTGTCTGTCCATCTGTCTATCCAGTCATCCACCCACCACCCACCACCCACCCATCCATCCATTTCTCAAAAGTGTATCCCCACCAGGTGCCAAGCACTGCTCCGGTTAGGCTTTGAGGGTGCAGAGGTATTTCGGCATCCGTTATTTCAGAACCAAGCCTGACCCAGGGGAAATAGCATGGATGTTTGTTGAATAAATGAGTGTTTGTTGAATGAACGAGTGAATGGATGGGTGAGGAAACAGGTGGCGTCTGGGTAGATTAGTTCCAGGAATCCCAACCAATAGCTGCCTCTGGTCTCTGATGTCCCAAACCTTTGGCTCTGTCTGCAGGGCCCAGGCTCCCCCAGGCAGAGCTCAGCAGTGGGGGAGGTGGGTGGACAGATGTCATCCCAGACAAGCAGAGTGTTTTCTAAGGGCACTTGGGGCTGGTCAATGCCTGGGGAGCATACTGTTTCTACACTCATGGACACTTCCCGAAATGATCCCATGCCCACAGTGAACTTCTTCACCCTTGCCAGTTGGTTATTAGCCCTCAATCCAGGTATCAGTGCAAAGCAGTGCTCTGGGGAGCTGGGCCACCCATTGAGGCCAGCTCATTCCCTTCCCTAGACAGCCAAAATCTCCCTCCTTTTCCCAGAAAGTCCATCATCAAAAGAAACAATAAGAAAAGCTGACCACACTGTAATGCCTGTTAGCAAAGACATGCAGCTGCACTTGACATTCTGGGGAAAGGTGAGGAGTGACACTGACCTGTCCTCTGGCCTGTGGCCTTGTGAGCAAATTGAAGTGAGTTTATTGAGATGGATGACTATCAACGTCACTTTGTGAATGTCACGTCAGTTGACAGGCTGGAATGGGGCAGGCCTGAGAAGGGCCCAATCAGGACAAGCAGTGCTCCCCAAATGTGGAAAGGATGGAGAAGGGGTGGGTTAACCAAGGCATTTACAAGTCAAACAGGTCGTCCTAATGGCAGGTGGCTCGGCCTTCAGCCACCCCTCTATCAGCACTCCTGGAAGACTCTGAGGAGCCAAGACTCTCAGCTCTTTCACCTTGTAGCTGCATGCAGGCTAGGCGCAGGCTCTGGGGAGACAGGTTAGACCCTCCAGAGCTGAGTCTGCCCAGTAATCACAGCTGGGCCATCACTCTGGTCCGCTTATCATTCCCCACAGGATCCCAGGGCTGGCTGTTATCACGTTGCCGTTTTGTTCATGAGGCTCCTGAAGCTTAGCACGACTCAAGCAACCTTACCAATCACACAGCAGGGCTGGGACCAGACCCCAACCTGAACCCCCCACCCCCGCCCCAAGAGGAGCCGAGTTGGGAGGTGGTGTGACCCGGTGCCTCGGGACTGGGGATGGTTAGCTCCGCGAGGTTGCATCCCCCAGGTTGGGGACGGCAGGCCAGCCATCCATTCTGCGGACGTGGGCAGGGGAGCTCGACCAGATGCCCATGCTTTGCACTTCCAGTGAGCAGGCTGCCACGGTGGGATTGGCAAGATAATTTAGGGACAGCCCGGAAGGCGGACTGAAAAAGCATCTCTCCTCACAGGGGAGGCAGGAAGGTGGGGAAGACAAGTCTTGGGAGTTCTGCCATCTTATAGAGGGTCCGTGGTATGTTTATGAACATCAGAATGGGGGTCCACCACTGGTGGCAGTTTGAGAAGGTGCCAGAGTGTCCACCGTAGGCAGAACACAGAACTTCTGAGCTATAGCAGGGAGACCAACTTCGCTCCAGGGAAGGAAGCCCAGTGCCTAATGTCAAAACAACAGAAATGCCTTTAAAAGGCAACGTGACAGGGCTTCTTCAATCTAGCAGAGTTTCTTCTTTTCTTTCGATTGGCTTTTCTTTTCAGGACCCCAAATATCAAGCCTGGGGTGGAAGATCACTTCAAATCTCATTTTATAGTATGGATGTTTTTTCTCGTTGTTTCCTAGAGCACAGATCAACTTCGGATGAATAACTTGCAACTGCAGAAACACGACACCAAAGCGCCAGCGCTGGGTGGCAAATTTCTCCGTGACCACAAATATCCTTTCTCCTCAAGGACCAGATTGGAAGCATTTGGGTTGTTTGTGCCTCCCATCCTCAATCAGGCGGGGGCGGGGCCTCCTGGGAGCAGCAACATGCCCTTTCTAGATCCTTCCCTTAGCATCGTCTGCCTGTCACCAGATGCACTGTCCTTCTTGTCCTGCTTTTCCAAAGTGCTGACAGTTTCTTTAGTCCCAGGGTGTGAGTCCCCCCTTGCATGGAGAAGGAGGGGCTTGGCTCATAGCTCATGCTTGCAAATATCCCAGGACCCCATCTGAGCGTCCTGGCTCTGTGCGTGGTGAGGAGAGAACGGGGATGAACTAGGGCCCTCACCTCCGTTATTTTGTGCTCAGTTGGCCCTGCCATCCCTAGCCTTCAATGCCTGCCCTGTTGGAAATTTACTTCTGCTTTGGAAGTAAAGGGGGACCAGGCTGCTCAACTCCAGGGAAGCTCACCCCACCACTACCAGAGTAGTGCCCAGGAACTGAGAAGGAAGGCTGGCATTCATCCCTTAGCCTCTGATCCTTTTTATTCTCTCAAAACTGTATTATAAAAAAAATCACAAACACACCGGGCTTCCCTGGTAGTCCAGTGGTTAATAATCCACCTGCCAGTGCAGGAGACATGAGTTCGATCCCTGATCCGGGAAGGTTCCACATGCGGCAGAGCAACTAAGATGGTGTACAATAACTACGGAGCCTGTGCTCTAGAGCTGAGTCTCAACTACTGAAGCCTGAGCACCCTAGAGCCCCATGGCCTGCAACGAGAGAAGCCACAACAATGAGAACCAGCACACTGCAATGAAGAGTAGCTCCTACTTGCCACTTCTACAGAAAGCCCACGCAGCAGTGAAGACCCAGCACGGCCAAAAGTAAAATTTAAAAAAATTACAAACATGCAGAAAAGTTGTTGTTGTTTAGTCATTAAGTTGTGTTTGACTCTTGCGATCCCATGGACTGGAGCCCACCAGGCTCCTCTGTCCATGGGATTTCCCAGGCAAGAACACTGGAGTGGGTTGCCATTTCCTGCTCCAAGAGATTTTCTCAACCCAGAGACTGAACTCACATCCCCTTCTTGGTAGATTCTTTACCACTGAACCACCTGATAAGCCCACAGAAAAGTTACCCAGTGAATACCAACGTGTTCCCGAGAGTCTGCAATTGTCAGCATTCTGTGATTCTTGCTTTATCACCTTCCTTCCTGCCTCTCTTCCCTCCTTTCATCCATTAATCCATCTACTTTCCCATCCATCCATCTTTCCAGCCAGCCCCATCTAACTGTTTTTAATAGCCTACTTTTGGAACAGTTTTAGATTCACAGAAAAACTACAAAGACAGTACAGAGTTCCTATATACCCCATACCCAGTCTACCCTATTGTTAACATTGGACATTAGCATAGCATATTTACTACAATTAATGAAGCACTATTCATATGTTATTACTACATTATAATTAACTAAAGTCCATGCTTTATTCAGGTTTTCTTCATTTTCATGGAATGCCCTCTTTGTGCTCCAGGATCCCATCCAGGAGTCCATATGACAAACATTACATCTCTTTAGACTTCTCTTGGCTGGGACAGTTTCTCAATCTCCCCATGTTTCTGGTGACCTTGACAATTTTGAATTTTGAGGGATCCTGGTTGGGCATTCTGTAGAATATCCCTCTGTCGGGACTTGCCTGGTGTTTGCTCATGGTTAGGCTGGGATCCACACTGTTTTTGGATGAATGTACTAGTCAGTTTGTGAGCCCCTTTTGACAAGGGGGGATGAGGAAAGTGCTCCCCTATCCGTATCACGAGAATGTTGAGGAACAGTGGGTAGGTCTACTGGTGGGATGCATGCGTGCTCAGTTGTGTCTGACTCTTTGCAACTCCATGGACTGCAGTCCTCAGGCTCCTCTGTTCATGGAGTTTTCCGGGCAAGAATACTGGAGTGGGTTCCTATTTATTGGTACTGCCGGGTTGAATCCCAGCTCCATGATTCACAATTGGCTTGTGGTCAAGACACTGTTTCCTTAAGCCTCAATTTCTTCTTCTGTAAAATGGGCACAAAAGGTCTCCCACGTAGATGGTGTGTGAGGGTTCCATGCAACTATCTCACAGGGAGCCCCACCAAAGATTGGCTACTGTTCTTGATGTTACCAATGTCCAGTAAGGATGGTCATTGTGATAAAACCTACAGAGGTTTCTGTGGTCCCTTTCAACAGTGGGACAGTTGGAAGAGATGTAACCTAGTTCTTGAGGATGGCATCAGGCCTGGGTCTGACTGTCAGAGCAACACCCACCCCTGCCCCCCAAACCTCAGCAGAGGCTGGCCTGCAGGACGTTCAGCCTCTTTGCTCCCAGCCCCACGTCTCCAGAAGGGAACTCTTTAATCCCTGGTCGCTTCTCTGGCAGGCAAACATTTTCCTAATATTCAAGGGAGGAACACAGTTAATCCCTGGTCCTATTTTATTATTGCTGCAAATATTTCTTTTTTATTGGCATGAAAGGAGATAAGCCTGGTGGAGGAAGAGCCAGGGCCTCCAGGGAAGAGCCTCCTTCCCAGCCCCCTGGGAATCCCAGGCATGTGGCATGCATTTTCCAACTGCAGCGGGCAGGCTCCCAGGCAGGCTCCGCTTGGTCTTCTGGCCCCGGGTTGATTGCTATAAAACCGGCATCAGGCAGCCTGAGACCACGCAGGGCTGGGGCGGACATCTTTCTGGAAACTTCTTTGCACGCAGGAGGCCTGTGACGCTGTTGCCGGACACATGTGACATCTCATTTGTGAGCTGACTTTGGTTTCCAGAGATGGAGGGAGCCAAAACCACGTCTCCGCAGCGGAAATCTGACCTTGACAGGGAGGACACACGCGGACTCGTGTTACCCAGGCCTGAGATCAGGGTGGAATTCTTGGTAGATAATAGATCCTGGAATGTCAGGGCTGACAGGAGGCTTCCAGGCCACCTCGTAACAGCCGCGGACGTTTACGGCATTCTTACTGTGGGACAGGCTCAGGGCTAACCGTAGGGAAGCCTTGTCTCCAAATATCCTCCTGTGCTGTGAGCTTTATTGTTCCCATTTGAGAGATAAACAAACTGAGGCCTAAGCAAAAAGTCACTCATCCAAGACCCCACAACTAGAAGCTGGGGGCAGTGGGGGGTGGGGTGGGGTGGCGCAGGGGGGTATTCAGCCCTGGGTCTGTCAGGCTTTAAAATCTGCTTCCTCATCTCGGCACCCTATAGCTGCCTCTTGCAGAGCTCCCTGGCCTGGGGAGACCAGAGGCCCCGGAATCTGCATGCAAAACATTGTGCATTTTTGCCGGGTGAGGATTTACAGGGTTTCTGAGGGTTTCATGTTCTCACAAAGGTGAAGACCTTCTGAACCCCTCATTTTTCAGAGAAAGGAGCAGAGAGGCATTCAGGTTGCCATGGCGACCCAGCAAGCGTGGTGCAGGCCTGGCCTTGGTTCCCCCAGATCTAGTGCAGTGTTCTTCCTAATACCATTTGTGGGTGAACACTGTTTTCAGATCATTTTTACAGAATTAAAAAAAAAATTCTTCGTGAAACACACACAGAAATGTGTCCGGCACATGTGCAGAGCTCCATGCACTATGGGCAGTGAACACATCTGTGTGACCCCACTCTCATCAAGAAGGAAAATGGAACCGGCAGCCCCGGGCCTTTTCCTGGCTGGACACTGTCCCCCAGCTCCGACTTCTTTGGCGTCCTGGGGTGCTTCTGCCTACATGGAGCCCTATGTGGACTGACTGTGGCCGTGCACGCTCTCGCCACAGGCGAGACCAGTCTGCTGCGACTCTTGGGCGTCTCCGGGGCCACTCATGAGTTCTCGCTCCCTCGCAGGAGCTGCGGGTGGTTTCCAGTTCCGAGCTGCGGGTGGTTTCCGGTTCTGGGGCTGCTCAGGGGCCTTGTATGTTTTGCCTTCCCAGAGGGTGTTCACCGAGAGGCAGGACCGCGTGGCCACCCGGCAGGTGCGACACCCGGCTCTGGAGGTGCCGAGCCAGTTTCCACAGGCTCGTTCCCACTCCCACGAGCAGCTGCTCACGCGGGTGGGCGAGGGTGTGACGCATGTTCTAAAATATAAATAGAAACCTGACTGCATTTTTGTCCTCTCCTTTGCTTAAGGCACTTTTCTGAGTCACTCTCTTTTCCCGACCCCGTGACACACACCCTGGGCCAGAGGCCGGACTCAGGCGGACGCCGCCAGCCCAGGGCCAAGACGAGGGGTGGCCCGTGAGCCTCGGTGCTTACCGGGGAGGGGGCTCTCTGCGGAGAAGACGCCTGGGAACTGAGTCTCCCTTCTCACTCTCTTCAGAGGCTGCATGGGGGATGGCCTTGGGGACAATCACATGCTGAATTAGAGCCACAGAATTTGGGGTGGGAAGGGCTGTTACTGAGCCTACCGGCCGGGAGAGTTTGGTTTGAATGAGCCCTGCACGGGGCGGCAGGGAGCTCACATCTATCTGCAGGGACTGAATTACCAGGGCCGATGGCACAACAGCCCACCGCTGCCTCCCAGCCGGTGCCCCCGCGGGGAGTGGCAGCTTGGTGGTGGTGGCCGGTACCTGCCCTGTGCTGGGACTCTGATCAGATCCTGACTTTACACGTGATCCCTGCCAGCCTCACCGCCGGTCCATTAAGAACAGAAAGATGGCTTGCTTCAGCCACAAGCGTCTCCTTGGGTGGCCTGGGAGTCCTGGTGTGCAGACCCCTCCCCCTAGCCCACCCACACGGGGACGCAGTAGGCTGAGCTGCCTGAGAACTGGTACCTGGCTGTGGTCACTCAGAGACCCCAGGCGGAGGGCTCCAGCCCCTGCCATTCCCTGCTGGCAGCCCCAGACCCTGAGGCTGTCTCCCTTCCCCCTTGACCCACGCCCCACCAGATGGCAGGGAAAAAATGTCTCTGGACCGAACCAGAGGTTCTCTGCCACCCACCCCCAAACCAGACCCTCATTCCATACTTCAGGACTTAGTAAGTCATTTCCCTTTCTCTGGGTCACCCTGTGTGGGTCTGAGCTCCAAGAATGCACGGCTCTTACTCACTCAAGCAGCCCCTGCCTGCCCTCTGCACCCTGCCTCTGGGGTGAACAGGCTGAATCTGAGGCTGTCAGAAGCCTTGCCCAGGAGTCTGTGCAGAGAGACACTTTCCCCCTCTTTGCTGCAAACTCTGCAGGATATGAATTTCTCTGTCCTTGCTACTTGGTCCCCCTCTTCTTTCTTCTCTGCTCCCGGAGTTTGTCTGTCGCCCTACTGTGTTGCCTCATCCCCTCCACCCCCAACCCCCTGGCAGGCTCCTCTGCTACACATATGCGCACACAGCCCCCCTCCATTTGCAGAGAGTTCCAATCAAATACCCGAATTCGGGCTGTGCAATTCGTGGTGGGAACACAGGCATCCTGTGGTTGCAATTCACTTGGTTCTAACTTGAGAGAGAGAGAGAAAGTGTGTGTGTGTGTGTGTGTGTGTGTGTGTGTGTGTGTGTAGGGGAACCAGGGTTTGTTTCATTGGCCTAAGATTATGAACAAACACCCATGGATGCAGCCACCTCATGGACTGCATAAGGGAATATACGTCCACACACTTCTTTATGTGTAGGGTGACTATTGAGCTGATTGTCTCAGGCGGGACACCTCTGAAAGTGACCGGGGTGTAACCTGGGCTGTCCCCTTGCCCTTGCGCATGGCAGGCAGTGGTGTGTGGGGGACACAGACCCGTCTGGGCTCAGCTCTGCCGGTGCTGCGTCGGGGCAGGGCCCAGCTGACGGTGTCAGCTTAGGGCCTTAGCGAAGCCACACTTCTCAGCAGCTTGTGGGAAGGTGGGCTGGTGAGATAAGGGAGCAGGGTATTCACATAACTGTCAGCGTTTCTTGACACGATGCAGAAATATTTCAGATCGCATCTGCGACACAAGAAATCCAAATGAAAGACCTGAACACTGTCAGCCATGGGACACATTTCCTGACTGATGTGGTTTTTTTTAAAGCCCTGATGTAGAGATGTCAAAAACGACAGGTCCTCAGAATCTCTCCCTTTGCAGCCGACGCACTGCTTCATCGGACGTGTAGGGAGACAGCTATTTGCACAGTGAAACCAGCTGGCCGTTCGGCGGGTGGGAGTCTGGCAAGCCGGCCGGTCCCTCCAGGGTCTGCCGGGCTCCAGCGTGGGGCTCGGATAGTGAGTCCGCCCCCAGTTACTGGGGCAGCCGTGGCCACCACACTGCTGCAGTGTGCTGGGGTCGGGGGTGGGGGGGGGGAATGCCGTTTGAAATGCTGGCTGTTCTGGGGGGAGTGAGAATGCTCTTTGTGATCAATTAACACCTCCCACGTTTGTCACCTGTTTGGAATGATGTGAAGAAGGCGAATTGCTTGCTATTTACGCTGTTACTTAATGAACCAACTCCCCTACTGCCAAAGGAGGGGGTGTTTATTCATAAGACCCCACATGAAGAGGTATTCATCAATTCTGTTGGAGTCAGTTATTATGTGTGAGCCGCTGGCGAATTCTCCTTGCTCATTTCAGTTTGTGCTATGCTGTCATCCGTAGTACACCTAATAACATCTGTTTGGGAGGGTGTGATTCTATTGCACGAAATTGGTACCCATTTTGGACCTTTAATGTGCATAAAAACGCAAACAGATGAACTATATCTTGAGTGGCATTTGCATGAAAATAAGCCTTTGCCGATCAGAAGTTTGCCTTTAGGATGACCGGGTTATTTCTGTGAGTTGAACGATCTCTTTAATAGTTATCAGTTGAAGGCAAAACCCACACGGAAGGAAAGAAAGAGACTTGAAAGAGGAAGGATGGGCTTTTCTGCTCTGGCAGTTACTTCAGAATCTGTAGCAGAGGAGAGAGAAGAGAGCCGTTTGAGCAGTGTGAAAATGCTCGCTCTCTCCCGATAAACACACAGAGAAATCAGCGGCTGTGTGTTATTTCTGGGGTGAAATGCCCTGGATTTCTTTATGAATCTTTTAGGAGAAATCGGGCATGAAGGCAACCAGTTTTCAGTTAGTTTTAAAATATACATTCTCCACAGAAGAAACGAGAAACGTCTTTATAAAACATGACATTCTAACCAAATGTGAGGCATTTTTCTCACCTTGGCAAACGAGCTTTAACTGTGTTTCCCTTTGAAAACTAGGAAACCTTTGAAAACTTTACAGAGGTAACTTTTTTATTCTCCCAAAGCTTTTCTTTTCGTTTCATTTAGCTATTTCATTAGCGTGTGTGTGTGTCTGTGTGTAAGAGAGAAACAGAGAGACTTAAGAACTTCAGAACTGAAGCTTAAGAAATTGTCTAAAATCTTTGTAGCTTCTATTTCCTTGAAAATGCCCCCAGAAAATGTTTTCTTGCTTTTTTTTTTTTTTTTTTTTGCAGGATGCAGGGTTCTTTCCAGCTTCCCCACAAATCCTGAAATTCCTTTGTTTAAAACAGAACAAAACAAAACAAAACTTGTGGCTTTTCTCAAAATGACAAACCAAACACGGCAGAACCTGAAATCCCCAGAACACAACCTGGACCATAAACCTTCTGGCTCAACAGGCAGGTTTTATGGAGACCCCAGTAAACCAAAGGATGGCAATAAATAAACAGCCGACTGGCTCCCCGTGCAGCCGTGTCTTCGGAACCTCGGACATCTGAAGGCAAAGGAAGGACCCCGTGTCGTGCGCAGTTTGGGAGATGTGTGGGCAAACCATTCGAGTGGCTGAGCCGCCCGATTCCTTGCAAATAATCCGGATGGAGTGAATGAAGCTGGGAGGTGTAGCTAGTACGCCATCCCAAAGCATTTTTTCCAAACTGCCACCTCAAACACGTATATGAATACTTGGAATACATAGAAGGAATAAATATAATCAGGCCACTAGCAAACATGGCAGCTGGAGGCATTAAAAGGACGTTAATCCTGAGAATGTTGAAAGGCATTCAGCTTTTCGGAGCCGCCTGGTGCATGGATGTGAACCTAATACTTCCACAGACAACACAGCCTGCACCCGCTTGCTGACTCTGGGCGGAGGCTCCACGTGGAGCGGGGAGCCCCGGGGGTCTTTTCCCAACCGGCTCGTTGCCACCCTGTGACACCAGACAAGTCACCCGACTTCATCCAGCCCTCAATCTTGCATCTGAAAATGGAGACAATCCTTCTTTCTCTTTTCAGACTCTCTGGGGATGCTGAGAGCACGAGATAAAAGAGGGAAGGGGAAAGGCACTCCACATGGCCTGCAGGGGCGAGTCTGTGGGGCTTCCCAGTGGACCTGGAAAGCCAGTCCCGCCCTCTCCCTGGTCCCTCCCGGCACAGCCCTGGCTTCCTTGGAGCCCCGGTGACCCATTCGTTGTCTCTGCTGTCGGCCCCCTTCGAACTGCCCGGAAAGATGTTGGCTTGGGGTGCTGTTTTCCTCCCTGGGTCAGGAAGCAGCTTCCCCCTGGAAGGGTCCTGACATCATCTTGATGTTCCAGGAACTCCCTGGCATGTCTGGAGGGGAGTTCCCTGGGCACGGGAGCGCACTGAGCTAATGGACATTCCCCATCTTACCCGAGGTGCCCTGGCCCCAAGACTCTCCCATGGGCTGGGGCACAGACTTGTATGCGTGCACACCTTTGCCCACGTCTGGCACAGACAGGGAACCATCCCAGGTGGCCGCAGCCCCCGAGCAGCAGGAAGCGCGGGGCTGGTGAGGCCCAGCCTGGCGCGAGCTCAGCAGCTGTGTGCATGGGCGCATGCAGGAGACAGCAGGGCACCGGGTGCGGCCATCCCAGGAGCGGCCCCCTTGCCCCTGGGTCTTTGCAACCTGCCTTCTCATCTGACCTGCCTCTATCCTGGCCCAGAACTCAGCCCCTCCTGGCAGCAGGGACACCGGGTTACACGTGAGGCTTCACGTGTCCAGCGGGTCCCCGGACAGCAGTTCACTGTACAACTGAGTGTCCAGGCCAACGAGGTCTGGACCCGCCATGCTCTGCCGTGAGGCTTGGCATCACACAATGAACCCAGTCATTTCACAGCGCCCCGGGGCAGGCAGATCAGCCCCCCAAGCCCGTGAGTCTTCAATCTAGTTGGCAGCTCAGCTTCTGACCACCCTTTCAAACACTCTCCA